CAGATTATAGATTTATGTGGTTCATACATTATTGTTTCTCTTAGAGGGCTTTAAGAAACTGCCTCCTTGGGAAGGCTGCAGTGGACTCAGACCCATCCGAGCAGGGGGTTTCGGGATGCGGCGGCGAGGGGCTTGGTTTCCATGGCAACTCCCCAAATCGGCTTGGTGCTGAAGGGTTTTTCTTTCCTCCCTCCCACTTTGCTGAGTGTGAGCCCTTGGCTAATGAGCTGTGCAAATAGATATTGAGATTTAGTGGGTTTTATTTTGCAATTATAGACTTAGCCATTTGGAAGGAAACTTTTGGGCCAAGGGCTCTGCCTCCTCTTTGAATTCTCCTTTTCTTTTCTCTCGCTTTTATTTCCCTTCGGCAAAGTTGGTTCAGCTTCAAACTTGCTGTTAAATTTTCCGGGCAGAAGGAGAAAATAAAGCACCGAGCAAAGTTGGAGGCTTTTTTCCACCCTCTCAGGCTAAACCCCAGCCCGACCGTTGGCCATTGACTGCCTCTTTTCTTGTTTGCTTATCAATCATAAACCCCACAGTCATGGACTGCTCTGAGAAAACAACACTAAATCCAACACTAACAGAGGTCCATCTGTACCTTCCCCTCCCTCTTTGTGTCCAGTCATTAGCTGTGGTCCGACAAGGATCTAGGGGCAACAGAGTTAATTCAGCCCCATCCATCCCCAGGTGAGAATTGTGGCTTCCTTGAGCGACTTCCATGGGGTTTGTGTTTGCTCCTGACTGTCAGCACTTGTCAGGAGCCCGAGCCCTTCCCTGGGACCAGTTAATCCTGGTTCCTACCTTCAGTACTGGTCTGTACTGGCTGCTGCGAGAGAGCACTTAGCAGTTCCCCTCCTGTCCCGAAGGGCGCTCTGGGTTTAGCAGCAGTTTTGGGATGGGCTCTTTGGCTGGGGATGCCTTGGAGCATCTGAAGGCTGCTGAGCCTGAGGATAACTGATCCCAAAGCTGGGCACAGGGATATTTCGGTTGGTAATTCGCTCTCCATGATTTGTGGCCGTTGATTTTTGACTGCCTCCAGCTTTCAATCCAGGAAGTTATCTTGGGGTGGATGCCTGCACTCTGGATTTTGCTTACTGGCCTCTTCTGAGAAGTCAGTCTGAAGCTTGAATTAATCTTCCCTGCTGTGCCTTGCCTTTTCTTCATCTACTTGCTTATTTTCCAGCTCAAAAAATGCAATAAAATTGGGCTGGGACAAGATCTATTCCGTGTGATCCACGATGACAATTGTTTGGTTCCCCATTCTCTTTGAAACAGTCGCTCATTTTGTTCCAGTCCCTATAAATGATCCCCAGCCACTTCCAAGGCACTGAAAGGTTCAGCAATGCTCCCAAGGCGCAGAGGCAAATGTGTCCAAGGGGCACTGAGGGTCTGGGAGCCACTGGGGAGCTGCCACTGGAGCTGGGGGATGAGGAGGCAGGGACCTGGGGGACCACAGTGGTGGATGGTGCCTCACTTCCCACCGTGGCCTTTCTCCTCTTGCTCTCTTTGGTCAGGACGTTTTGCCTGTGGCTGCCCCATCCCTGGCAGTGCTCAAGGCCAGGTTGGACACAGGGGCTTGGAGCAAGCTGCTCCAGTGGAAGGGGTCCCTGCCTGTGTAGGGGTTTGGAACTGGATGAGCTTTCAGGTCCCTTCCAACCCAACCCATTCCATGATTCTGTGATTAACCCATGCCTGTTGCTGGATGCTTTGCTGGGCTGCAGCTTCTGCATGGCTCTGGAAAGGTCCTTCCCAGCTCTGCCTGATGCATCCACCCTCCATCATCCAGAGCCTGGAACCACGGAGCCAAGCTCACTGCCATCCTCCTATGGGAACTGGACCATCGGTAGATTTGGCTGGTAACTTTGATTAAGGGTACCCAGGAAGAGGTATCTGTACCCTGCATAGAGCATGATGTGAGAGAGCAGAGATGCTTTCGAGACCCTCTTGATCTTGGAGAAAGGTAACGGTATAAATACAGGAAGCCTCATTCCCTCATCAGAGACCAAAGGGAGCATGGCTTGCAGCCAGGCCCTTGGTTTTACATGGGATCGAATAGACCCACGAGTGCCACTTGGCACCCATGTCCTGGACCCGTTTGCCATGGCAGAGCTGGGTGGCGGGTGGGACTTCCAAAGGCTTTCAGCACTTCCCGAGCCCATCTCGCTTTGAAGGCAGCAGGAGCTCGTTTGTCTCCTCCTGATTGTCTTTCTGCTCATTAGCTTCAATGGAAAAAGAGCGCAGGCACCATGGAGGGCTTTGGGAAATTACAGCCGATTGTGCTCTGGTTTGAAATGGGTTTGGGTGTTCCCTGTGAAGTCCCCGGGAGCAGAATCTGCTCTTGGCACGTCTGAGCCTGGTGAATAAGCTGGAGGACGGGGAATGAGCTGTAAGCATCGTGCCTCCGCGCTCCATCCCTTTGAACAGCGCTGATGTGACAGCGTGGGCACCGATGCGGCCCCGGGCGTGTTTGGCTCCGGCTCCTGTGGCTGCAGCTGGTGTGCATGACTCAGAGACCAGAAGGGCGAGAGCTGAAATCCAAAGGTCCTTGAGGACATGGCAAGGACAGGCTGGAACGATCAGCAAAGGCACGGGCTGGGTTGGAGACCTGGGTTCAGCCTGATGCAGGGGTGATGAGAGCATCCTGCAGCAGCACCTGGGGGATGTGAATCGCATTGAGGCGCAATAAAGAGGGGAAAGAGCTGCTGTCTGCTCCTGCTTCTGTGAGCGTGGGCCTATCCTCTGCAGAAAAGCGGTCTCCAGGATGGTGGCATAGAGCAATTTCCAGTGCCTCCAGCGTGCAGCTCCTCTGCAGGAGATGCTGGTGCCACTGGGAGGTGACCGGGGCTCACTGGGCTCAGCCCTGGAGTACCTGGCACACAGAGGGAGATTCCAGGGTGGAAGGGACCACCGAGACCATATCCAAACACAGCCCCAGCCCCGCGAGCGACCGGAGATGGGCCGTGTGTCTGGGTCAGCACGGATGTGCCTCTCTCAGATGAATGTAAGGCCCTTTCTTTCCCTGTTTTCATACACGGTGAGTGGCCGTTAGTGGTTGGAAGGGATGACCAGGCAACAGCCTGGCTTTTCCATCCCTTGGACTCCCGGAAGATGTGCTGAGCTGTGGTTTACCTGCCAGCTGTGTGGTCCTGGGGCACAACCATCTGGCTTAGAAACCAGAGAGCCTTCTGGGGCTGGCTCCCATCTATCCTCTGTGGATCCCGAGTGTCCATTAAGAAATACCCCCCACACACACAATGGAGACTGCCTTTGCACGTATATTGAGCTATTTGCTGCTAGCAAAAGCCATCTGGATTGTTACAGGGGACATAGGGAAGGACAGGGACACCCCGGCAGCCCCAGCCCTGCCTGCAGCCAGGCAGAGCACCCCATCCCCTGCACTCACCCACCCTGCACAGATGTAATCTCAGCTCTGCATTAGCAGGGCTGCATTAGCCATGCTGGGTGCATCACACAGGTTACCACTGCCATCTTCGTGTCACAGGCTGTAAGGCTTCACATTTCCAGAGCCCTGTGCAATCAAATCAGCCCTCACAACCCTTCCTTAATTGTATTTAGTTTGTCTGAGCAACCACAGAGTGCTTAAGGAGAAGGGAGTTTCCTTTCAGTGTGATGGGAAACTGAGGCACAGCGTCCCTCGCAGAGCAGGAGAGATTTGGGTTCCTGATGATGTTTTGGGTGCCACAGAGGCACCTGAATGCTGCTAACCCAGCACATCCTGGCACCCAGAGCCACAAATAGCCTGAAACATGGGATGTTCTTATGTGGAAAATTGATCTCCAGTGGGGCACAGCACATCTGGGAATGCAGTAGGGAATCCCAGGGGTCCTGCCTGCTGACAGGCAGGCACCAAGAAATGATGGGTAAAAGAGAGAAGGATCGGGTATGGCAGAGGTTGTTGCTGGCTCCCATCACCACTGTGCTGTTTGTGGGGTCTGCAAGGTCCTTGTGCTCCCCACATCTCCCTTGTCAACGAGGCAGGAGCAGAAAGCGCATCCCAAGGAGGACCCGCATGGCCAGGAGCATCCCTGCCTTGGCTCGAGCGGCAGCAGCAGCAGCAGCATCCTGCCCGCTGGCTCCTTCCACAGCCAGTTTGCACGGGGGAGCGGGGGCCGAGGGAAGCCCCATGCTGATAATGTACTGAAAGTCAATGAAATTAAAGAAGCCAAGCGGCCCTCGCAGCTCCTGCCTTCCCCCCTGGGTAATTCAATCGGAGCGCGAGCGCTGATGGGATCTCGCCGGGGCTGCCTCTTGTCCCCCCGCTGGGCTCTGGCTTCTTAACGTCCACATCAAAGTTTCACTCAAGCATTGTTTATGCTCCTGCCAGCGGGGTCGGGGAGCTGGCGTTGGGCACATTCATGTAATATTCATACTCGCCGGCTCTCCCTGGGCACCCGGCCCCACCGGCCCGTTTTCATCCTTGTGAATGTCCCAGCAAATGACATTTAGATTTGCATTAGCAAAAGAGGTTCGGGGCTGGGGGCTGAGGGGAAATGTGCCTTGTCTGCAAGTCAGATGCTCAGCATCGCTTGGAGCAAAGCCTGAGCGCATCTCTGCTGTGGGGTGCCAAGGAGGTGGCAGCACAGGGGGTGTGCGGGGTCCCCTCACTGAGGGTGCATTTGAAGGTGGTGCAGGGGCTCCTCAGGATCTTATTCTGCATCTTCCCCCATAGAGAAAACACTTCTGATCCGGCCAGGCTGGACCCAGAGAGGGAATTTGGGTCCTTTTGAGCATCCCTGTTGGTCTCAATGAAAACACCGTGCTGATGGGTTGGGGGAAAGGGAAATCCCAGCATGGTTTGTGTTGGAAGGGACCTGAAAGGTCCTCCAGCTCCAACCCCTGCCACGGGCAGGGACCCCTTCCACTGGAGCAGCTTGCTCCAAGCCCCTGTGTCCAACCTGGCCTTGAGCACTGCCAGGGATGGGGCAGCCACAGCTTCTCTGGGCAAATCCCAAGGCTTTGCTTTGCTTTTCTCCCTGTAGGAGGGGAGGAGATGACACCCAGGTCCGTCCAAGATACAGGGAACATTTTGAAGCAAGGCTACCTGGAGAAGAAGTCCCGAGGTGAGGCTCGACCAGCGCCATAGGTTAAGGTTTGGGGACGTCACCTCAGAGCTCCCAACAATTCAAGCTTTCAGATGGAAAGCTAACGGGGAAAGGCATCTTTTCCATAGCACATGCAGGGTCTTTCAGGCTTTCCTTAGGCCTCATGCACACAGGGAGGGCTCAGCCTTTACTTGTGCTCTTTTGCAGCTCATCCGACTGCACAGAGATTAAAACCCCCCAGATTGAATTAAGCAGCAGCCCAGTCCTCTAAGGCAAGATGTGTCCTTCTAACGAGCAGCACCTAATGAGGATAAAGCCTGGGTGAAGACAAGGGGGCTGGGAGCATCGCACACATTAGCAGGTTGAGATAAGGGCTGTGAGTCAGCCCCGGCTTTATCTTGATCTCAGTGCCCCTTGTGAAGGCTACAAATCATTTCCTCATCGCTCTGATTTTATCTTGATTTATTTACTGTATGGCAGCAGGGATGAGGCAAGAGCAGCCCCTTTTTGCCTCCTGGCCATCAGCTGAGCGCTGTGACTGGTCCTGTGCACGTTCCAGCTTGCTCCGATTATAGAGTAAAAGGCATGTGCTTAAATCTCAGCTGGGGAGGTTTAACCCCAAGCTGTGCTCCCTCCCAGTTAGCAGGGCTAAGGGTCACAGCAGCCCAGTTCAATGCAGTTCAGTTCAGCCCAGCCCAGTTCAGCTCACTTCAGTTCAGCCCAGTTCAGCCCAGCTCAGTTCACTTCAGTTCAGCCCAGTTCAGTTCAGTTCAACCCAGCCCAGTTCAGTTCAGTTCAACCCAGCCCAGTTCAGTTCAGTTCAACCCAGACCAGTTCAGTTCAGTTCAACCCAGACCAGTTCAGTTCAGTTCAATACAGCCCAGTTCAGTTCAGCCCAGTTCAGTTCAGTTCAATACAGCCCAGTTCAATACAGCCCAGTTCAGTTCAGCCCAGTTCAGTCCAGTTCAGTTCAATGCAGTTCAGCCCAGCCCAGTTCAGTTCAACCCAGCCCAGTTCAGTTCAACCCAGCCCAGTTCAGTTCAGCCCAGTTCAGTCCAGTTCAGTTCAATGCAGTTCAGTTCAATACAGCCCAGTTCAGTTCAGCCCAGTTCAGTCCCGTTCAGTTCAATGCAGTTCAACCCAGCCCAGTTCAGTTCAACCCAGCCCAGTTCAGTTCAGTTCAATGCAGTTCAGTTCAACCCAGCCCAGTTCAGTTCAACCCAGCCCAGTTCAGTTCAGTTCAATGCAGTTCAGTTCAATACAGCCCAGTTCAGTTCAACCCAGCCCAGTTCAGTTCAACCCAGCCCAGTTCAGTTCAGTTCAATGCAGTTCAGTTCAATACAGCCCAGTTCAGTTCAGCCCAGTTCAGTTCGCTTCAGTTCATCCCAGTTCAGTTCAGCCCAGTTCAGTTCAGTTCAGTCCAGTCCAGTCCAGTTCAATTCAGCCCAGTTAGTTCAGTTCAATACAGTTCAGTTCAGCCCAATTCAGTTCAATGCAGTTCAGTTTAATGCAGTTCAGTTCAATGCAGTTCAGTTCAATGCAGCTCCGTTCAATGCAGTTCAGCCCAATTCAGTTCACTTCAGCCCATTCATATGTATATTTTGCTTGCCTGAATTCTCTGCCAGAAATCTGCAGGGTTTTATTGGGGAAAAAAGAAGTCTTTTTTGCCCTAAATGTTCCCCTGGCGCAAGAGCAGGACCGATCCCTTTCACTCTGTTCTGACCTTGTCTTGCCAGAGCACAGCTTCTTTGGGTCCGAGTGGCAGAAGCGCTGGTGTGTCCTCAACAGAAGCACCTTTTACTACTACGCCAGTGAGAAAAGTGAGTGGTGAGGTCTCTGCTTCTGGTCCCCAGGCTGTGGGTGATGGATGGATGGAGGCATGGACAGGGCTGGAAAAGAGCAAGGCAGAGCCCTTGCCCAAGGCCAGGTTATCATCTGACAAGAGAGAAGGGTGTAATTCCCTATCAATACATAACATGCAGGTCCTACAAAGGTGGATCTTAGCTTGCTTTCCCCCCAAAAAAAAACACCTTCATAGGTGTGGAACAAGAGAAGAGAGACACAGGGACAGAGCTGTGTGTGAATCAAATGATGTTCCAAGCTTTCCATTAGCCGTCAGCTGGGCTTCACCCCCCTCAGTGGCTGTATATAACCCATGTGTCAGTGTACATAAATATTTTGCAGTCATGCTCCATCAGGTCCATACAAACAGACAGCTCATATCTCCAACAGAGTTTGGCGTGATGAGATAGATGGCCTTCCCCTGGTCCACCCATCCAGAAACACGCCATGAGAGCAGCTCACAAAGCAGCACAGTGACCAGTCTGTGACTGGGACAGGATTGAACTCCAGTGGGACGTGAGGGTGAAGCTGGGTCTTTGTCCTTCGTCCACATCCTTTGGGGATCTCAAGCGCTTTTCACTTCCAAACAAGCTTCTCAACTCCTCTCACCCTGGTACGTGCAGGGACTTCCTTAGAGTAGATGGAGGTGTTGAAGCCAGGGTTGGTGCTTTGAGGGGGGACAAGCAGTGGTCATCTCCTCCCCAGATGGCAACACAGGAAAGGAAACCCGTTATGAGTGAGCTGAAATCCTTATGGAGGGCTCCCTGGAAGTCCCTAAGGATGCGCGGATAAAGCAGGTTCACCAGCAGCCTTTCTCTTGAGGTTTCAAAGGGCATCCTCTCTCCTGGGTCTTTATGAAGAGTCGATGATATTCCCTTTGGATGTCCATGGACGTGCTGAGACTGAAGGGGTTTTTCCCAGCCATTCCCTATGGGAATGTCCTTCAGTTTCCCTGTGTGGACATCTGCAGCACCCCAATCTGCCAGCTGGATGAAGAGATGCTGACTCCAGATTTAACACCTTTCTCTTCTTCCAGGCAAGCAACCTAAAGGCACCTTCTCCATTGAGCACTACGGTGCCCGCCTGGCTCCCCATCTCCGCAAGGACTCTCGGAGAAGATGCTGCTTTGAGTTAACCTGCTCTGGCAAACGCACCTACGAGGTAGGAACGGGGCCCCAAATGGCTCTCGCGTGCTGGTTGACCACCGGGCACCAAAGCACATGGTCCAGGTTGAGGGGCAGAGGTGCAGGCTGGACCTGCGGGCTCAAGGGGGTTGGGAAGCTCCAACAAAGCAAGCAGAAGGTGCTGATGCTGCTTCTTGATGGGTGATCTCAGCATGGGCCTTCCCTTGGCATGAGAATCATCCTGGGCTCTGCTCGCGCTCATGGAGCACAGGGTTTAAGCAAGAGCATGGTGTAGAAGCAGTGGAGGATTGGGTTTGGGAAGCCCAGTTTTAAATAAGCCCCTCAGAGCCAGGTTAGATTTAAACCTTGGTATGTTGAGCATCCTGGGGGAACCTAAAACCTGCGGCAATGGAAAACCCAGCCCAGTGCATGACGTCTGCAGGAGAAGCTTCCTGAGCTTGTGGATGTCTCGGTTCAGAGTCGGTGTAGTGCATTCAGTGGGGATTGTGGTTTTCATCCGACTTGGTTTAATGAATCAGGCTTGACAGCTTTCCTCTGGGATAGTCTGGCTCTGTTCCGCTTCTGGTTCCCTTTTTGGAACAGGGAGATAAGAAGGGAAATGGCTTTCCTAAAGTCACAGGGGGGAGAACGGCAGAGCCAGGATCTCCATCCCCAATCCCTTTCCTCCCTCTCCCTCCACCCAAGAACCAGCACAATAACGGGTGAACCTCTCTCCAGTTCACAGCCCCAAGCCCAGCAGAGGCTGAAGAATGGGTGGATCAGATCCAGTTCCTCCTGAAGGGTGAGTGTGGTGGCCCTGGCAGCATCTGCCCCCTTGCTGGGGCTCCGCATCCCCTCTTAGCCAGGGAGAGGTCCTGGGGCTTTGCTCCTTGGGGTCAGTTTGGAGCCCACATCTGGGTCCACCTCGAGAGCTCCTGGCTGGTTTTAGAGGCCAGGGTTGGGTGGTCTCTCCTGCCAGACCTGAGCTCCTTCACTATCCCCTGTGATGAAGAGGATGAAGAGGAGCTCTACAACGACGTGGACAGTTCTGAGTCTGTGACCACGGTATCCCATAATACTACTCTGAATCAAGACGGGCCAAATGTTGAGATGGAAGAGGATGACATCTATGAGGTTTTGCCAGGTAAGCAACCAAATCCTGAGCCATCCCCTAGCCCCAGCCCTGCAAACACCCTTGGCTACACTCCACATGGATGGGAATGAGTTTGATGGACCCATATCTCAGAGCTCTGACCCCATGTCTTTGTCTGGCCTGGCTGATGGACCACAAGAGCAAGCCCTTTGTGTTGTGCTGAGGTGGAGGGGTGGCGAATTAAGGTGAGGCAGCTTTTAGAGGCTCCCTTCAGCTCCACTGATATTAAGTTTGGTGTGAGTGGAATCTCTGGGCTGTGTTACCTGGAAGATCAGACTGGAGATGATGAAGCAGCTCCCTCCCGGGCACACAGTCGGGGCTGTAACGCAATTACTGGCCTTCCAGGAGATGATAACGTAACCACATTAAAGACCAGTGCTTGCTCTCTAACAGTGCACGAGGTCTGGAGGTAGCAGGGCAGCAGCTCCCGGTTAAAGGAGCCAGGAGCAGCCCTCAAAGTGCCTGCAAGGGTGACACCCTCTGCAATAGCTCTTGTTATAGCACAAGCCATGGTGTGATGTGCCCCAGGGCTTGGCCAAGGGCTCACCTGAGCCTCACTGAAACCCATGTGCTGTTGTGCTGCTTCTTCCCTGAAAGCAGAGTCCTTTGGTGGCTGTGTTCAGCCTCTCTCCATCTCTCACCTTTGCTTCCTGGGCTCCCCTTCCTCTCTCCGCACCCTCAGCTCTTTGGGCAGCAGCTTTCCCTTCCCTTGGGTGCACCCACAGTGGTCCCTGGGCTCGGATGGAGCCTCCACAGGGGTCTCCAGGCGGGTGGGTGAGAGATGCTGATGGTTGGTCAGGCTGAGGGCGTTCAGCATCCCTGCCTGCTTTGGCGCCTGTGTCCAGCTCCTCACTGCCTTGAGGCCACCAGCGCTGACGGGAGCAGCTGTAACACCTGCAGGTGTTGGTTTAAGGATGGATCCCATCGCTGCCCTCCCTTCAGGAGGCAGAGTGTGAGGATGCCAACCCTGGCAGCCGGGTTCACCCTCGGTCCCTGTTCCTATGCACATCAGTGCCCTGGTGCCCCATCCCTGGCAGTGCTCAAGGCCAGGTTGGACACAGGGCTTGGAGCAAGCTGCTCCAGTGGAAGGGGTCCCTGCCCGTGCCAGGGGTTGGAGCTGGAGGAGCTTTGAGGTCCCTTCACCCCAACCCACTCTGGGGGCATTTGTTGCCATGAAGGGGCCAGCTCCTCATCCCCCACAGGCCCCAGTTCCTGCAGCTTGGATGTCGGTGGTGGTGGCACATTGATGCCGAGGGTGCAAGTGGTGAGAAACCAGTCACAGGGCACAGGGGCAGGTGGGAGAGATCACGAGCCCTGAGCTCATCCCCCCTGCTCCTTCCCCCCCTCAATAAGAGCAAGGAACAATCTCATCCAAGCTGGGATCTCCTCTGGGCCTGGCTGCCTCCCTTGTGTCCTGGGTGAAAACAGAGGGAAAAGGATGGAGAAGGGAAGAAGGGGGGGGGGAGATGAAGAGATAATTTCCTCAGCAAGTCATCGTCGTTAATGAAGTTTTACAAAAACAGATACAACCAAGGAAAAATAAAATTTCACAGGTGATAAATTTTTCCAATTTCCCTGGCAGAATTCGATGGGATTGTTAAATTAAGAGTGAAGGTGTCTGTTAGGAAGCAACGAGCAGTGATGGGTAATTTTATAGAGTGGAAAATTGAATCAAATTGCTACATTAAAACACAGCTCCTCTGAGAATCTGCCCCAGTGCCCAGGCTGCTCCAGCACAGCAGGGTGGGGGGGGCACGGCCATGCCTGGGGCTTGGGGCTGCCCTGGACCACTCGCGATGCCCATAGGGATGGAAAGGTGAGGTTGTGATGCTCTCACAGGGATGCGGCAGCAGGGGAAGGGCACAGCCCCCAGGGGATGCGTTTGTCAGCGTTTGCCTCTGATCCATCACCCTAAAACCGGGCTATTGGATGGGATCGGGCACCCCAGGGGAGGCAGAGCATCGCTGCAGGCTCGGAAAAGCACCTGGCTCTGGGGCCGTGGTGTGGTGGGGAGCCGCTTCCCGTGGGAAGCTGAGTCCCAGCCGCAAGGACTGCACCTCACTGCACCTCTGCCAAAGGCACAGAGTGAGGGGGGAGCAGGGCAGAGGGAAACTGAGGCACAGGGGAGAGCGCCTGGTCCACGCCATGGAGCAGCTTTGCTCCGCTTGGAAACCCAGAGGCATCATTTCCTCCACGGCACGTGTATTCCTGCACCAGCCCCGTCTGATGCTTCCTAAGGAGCCTGGGTTTGCCTGTGAGAAGGGATCTGGGAAGAGGTTTCCTGAGGACAGCCTGGCTCCGGGATGGAAGCGGTGCCTGCAGGATGCAGGATGTGCACAGCAAGGATATGGGGAGCCCCTGGGTGCAGGTGGGGGAATGATGCTGCCCTGCTTTGGAGGACAGCTTTGGGGATTTCATGGCATGCAGGAGCTGGTTTGATGGCCCTTCACCTCAGGAGATGGGATACAGGGAATCGGCGCCATAGTTAAAGGGTAAAGGAATCCAGATGTGAGGGTTTGGGGGTGGGAATGGTGGGGAGGGAGCACTGCTCTGGATACATTTCCCTTCTCTTTTTACACATGCAAAGAGCAGGCAAAAGGCACTTTCCATAATTCATTTTGGGATCAATGCTAATGGGATCCTGCCTCGTCAGGGGCCGACCCCTACAATAAAGTCTGATTTATTTAGGAAAGATTTTTGGGGGCCGTTTCCCATCTAATGGGGGGAGCAGCAGCAGCGACCCTCCACCACGGGATGCAATTTGTAACGGGCAGCCCAGCTCTGACCTGGTTTGCATCGATCGGCTCCGGCTGGGATTGACGCCGGAGCAGCCCCAGCGCTTCACTGGCCCAGCCTCGGTGTCTGCTGGCTCTGCCTAAAGGGGACGGCAAAGCCGCATCCCCTGGGATGCAGTAGGGATGCATCCCGTCCGGGGCTGCGTCCGGGACTGCCCCGTGCTCCCCAAGGAGGCGGCAGCAGTGCAGGAGGTGCAGATGGGTTTGGGTCTATTTTAGAGATAGAAAATGGGTATCAATAAACTTTATAAATACATGTATAACATATAGAGGTACCGACTGTAGGTGGGTTCGAGCTCTTATCCGTGTGTAGATCCTTGCTCCCATCTGTCCCCGGCTGTTTTCTCAGCGCTTCCCCATGACTTCCAGCCTCTCATTCCTTTACCCTGTGCCATGGTATTGTTTCCTATGATTCCCTTCCATGCCACCCTGCCTTTGCTCCCCGTTCTCCTTCACTTCTGCTCCTTCCTCCCATCTCCATCCCGGCATCCCCCCATTGCATCCCCTGCGCCGGGCAAAGCGCGGCCCCAATTTATGGGGCTCTAAGAGGCGATTTGTTTTGCCCCGTGTTAACAACAATTCATGGGTTTATGCAACACGCTTGACAATACGATCTGTGACTTCCTCCCTTCCCACTCGCCGCAGCCCAGCCGGGGATTTATGGCTGTGGCAGTCGGATGCTCTCTGCCTGCCGGGGGTTTGGGGTAGCAGTAACGCTCACAGCCCTTCCCCTGACAGCTCTGCTGCTTCCCTTCCCAGACGAGGAGCTCGATCCCCCCTTCCCAGAGTACAGCAAGGACGCAGGGAGCAGGCAGAGAAGCGGTAAGAGCCCACCCTGCTTTGTCCAACTTTAAGGAACGTTTTGGGGGGGGGGGGCTGAGTCCCGCTGCCTTTGAGCATCCTGGGGTGTGATGGAGGCTGTGAGGAGGATGGAAGAGGCCCCAGGAGACCCTGAGGCTGGGCTGGGGGAGCTCTCCCCATCTTCTCCTTGCTGTGGGCATGGGGATGCCTCTCCCCTATGGACAGGACCCCGTGGCCTTAGTGAGCTCTCGACGGAGGAGCCTCAGCATCCAGCCCCCTCTTGCCTGATGGAGGCTCTCCCATCCCTGTCCCTTGTCCCTGGACCGCAGAGACGGAGCCAGCTCCCCCCAAGCATCCCACTGGGGCAGAAACAACCTGGGGAGAGGGAAGGAAGCAAATCATGTCCCAGAGGAAGCTGCTGCAGGGCGGGATCTGGGATTGGGAAGCCAGAAGGACACAAGCACCAGGAGCCAGCAGCCCGGGAGCCTGCCATGGTCACCGGTTCCACCCTTGCTTCTTCCTTAAGGACCTGCACCGCGGGACGGGAGCGGAAGATCTGTTTCCTCCCTGGTCCCACCTGCGTCGTTTTCCACCCCTGCTTCCTCCCCGGCACCGGAAAGCAGCGCTTGTGTCCAAGGAGCTGGGGCTGGGCTGGCCAGGGGCTTCCTGCTGCCCTGCTCGCTCCATCGCACGTGGGAAACCATCCTCCTGGCAAAGCCTGGCGTGGGAGAGCTTCCCACCCCATCCTGCTGCGCCTGGCGATGCTCAGCGCCCTGGGGATGCTCCGTGGGCATCCCGCCTGTTGGGTGATGGAGACCGGAGGGCTTCAGCCTTGGATGCTGTGGGTAACGGGTGGCTAAACCAGCTTCACACGTGCTTGTGCTCGCCTCAGTGCAGCACAGGCATTGCCCAGCTGGTTCAGCCCTCCCAGAGGACCCCAATGCCCAACTTCCCAGTGTTTCTGGAAAGCCGGATCCAAGCTTTCCCTTTACCCATCAGACGCCTTTGGATACGGCTCAGGCAGTTGTGCCCAGCCCGGGAGGGTGCTCAGGCCTGTTTCTACTGAGGTCTTGGTAGCACAGACAGGGATGAGTCCCAGCTGCTCGCAGAGACCGGAGCAAGGCGGCATCGCCCCATTCCTCATGGATTTGTGGAGCTCGGTACCAGCCCCCAGCGCTTGGGAAAAACAACATCCCCATCTTCACAATCCATCCCTTGTGTCCATGCAGCGGCCTCGGGGCAGGGGAAGGGAAGCAGGAGGCGATGGGATACCTTGTTCTGCTTGCCTGTCCCAGCTGCCGCATCCTCAGCGGGGAGTGGAGCACGGCTCCATGCAGGCTGGTGCTGGAGGTGGGGATGAGCCTGCACCCCAAGGGCATCCCTAGGTTTTGGGTGTCCCCTGGCAGGCATTTCAACGCCCTGCCCGTGCCCATCGGCATCCGCCTGCGGCGCCAATGGTTGTTGATGGTTAGAACCGGTGCAGCCACCAGCAGCCTGGGGATTGCTTTCAGCCCTGGGTGGGTTTGACACCAAGCAACGGGTTCAGTCCTCGCCTGGGAAAAGCCAGGCTGTGTTCCAAGAGGGAAAGGTCATCAGAGCCCCAGGAACCCCGACCCGGGCGATGGGCGCTCCTGTCCACGGGCACGGGAGAGGTGATGGGAGTCCTTGGGGTGGGAGGGAGGGTGAGGGCTGGTTCTTCATCCTGTCACACGGCCGCAGTGCCAGATGAGCATTTGGCTGATGGAAAACCATTGTTTCCCAGTTGGAGGAACCACGAGGATGCCCCGATGCTGGAGCAGCTTCAGGCCTCATTTACTCTGCTCAAGGCTGCTTAATCCCAGGCACTGGATGGGCCTGGGGCTGCTGCTGCGGATGCAGAGCACGGTTCCTCTGCTTAGCAAAGCAAAGCCTCGCAGGCTGCTCCCTGTCACCTGCCATGGGCACAGCAGTGGAACCCCGGAGCTGCGGACGGTTGTCATCAGGCTTCAGCATCAACAGGCTTCCCAAGGAAGGGGGCTGGGATGGATCCAGCCTCTCCCAAAGCCTCTTCCTGGGGCTGCAGGGGAAGATGATGCAGCCGTCACATCTGGCTGGTTCTCTTAATGAGAAGAGCCCTAAGAGCAGGCTCTCGTCCCACTCACAGCAGTGCAAAGCAGTGAAACCACAGCTGAACGTGGAGTTCAAGGTCTCGATGGGGCACTGGGGCTATTTAAACATCACCTCGGCCCTGTGTAAGTGAGCAGAATGAATGCAGGAGTCCTGCGATGGCTCATCTGGATCCAGCCCACATCCCACATCCCACATTGCACCAGCCTGGAGCTGGCTGGTCAGGAGGGTTGTGGCCATCCCCTGTCCCCTGCAGAGGCTGCAGAGTGAAGTCCCCCCCTTGCCTTGCCTTCAAGGAGCAAGCCAGGAGCCAGGATCCCTTTCCCACAAACAGGCTTTGCTCCAAGAAGCCCGTCCTGGTATCTGGCACAAAGATCTCGGCTGCTTCTGAAGCTGCAGCAGGGGGTTAAGAGCGGAGCCGCGCTTCCATCCTGAGGCATCTTCCTCATCCAAGGCCATAAAGCCTGACCTTTGGAGGCAGGCAGGGCTGGAGGGAAGCACGAGAGCTTCCATGCAAACCTTCCCAGGGGCTGGAAAACGTTCTCCCTGTGTCCTGCCACGTCCGGGCGCTCCTCCAGAGCTCTGCTTTACCAACAGCTCCTTGCTGAGGAGGGGGAGATGCCTCCAAGGTCCTCTCCTTCCTTTGATAAGCAGGAAAGAGCGGATGCAGGAGGGGGAGGCACCTCCCCAGCATTCCCAGTAAATGAGGGAGAACCGGGATAAGGTTGGCTCCAGCTTCCCCGCAGCATCCTCACCCCAGGCAAGCAGACCCATGGGTCCCGGCTGCTCACCAGCACGGGAACAGGCACTTTTGGCTCTGGAAACCCTTTGTAGGAAGCTGTATTTCCTGTTTCAAGCCTCTTCCCCTCCCTGCAGTGACACGGAGGAGCTGATGTGTGGGATCGCTGTCCTTAAATCCCTCTGCCAGCACATTAACAGCGATGCTCAAGCATTACCGGTGCTTTTATGCCCCCACAGCAGCCTTTGCCCACCCTCATCTCACAGGGGACACCAGCAGGTCCGTGCCAAGCCACTGGCTTGCATCGCCCATCCCAGCTTAATCTCTGCATGGTGATGGTGTCCTCACACCCTCCTCTAACGACCTTTGGTGTTAATGACCAAAGCTGCTGCTTGCCTCATCCTCCTGCTCGGAGACTTTCCTCCGCCTCCAGTTCATCACCTCTGGTTCCTGCACTTAGCACAAGCTGAAATAACTCAGTAGCTCCTTCTCCTTCTATTCCCTTCCCAATCTTCTCCTCGCCGCTGCGTGCTCCCCCTTTAATACTTTCCAAAGGATGCAGCCCTGCTTTGGTGGGGTTTTTTTCCTCCCAGCCTAAGTTCCCCAAGTCCCTGAGTCATTCCAGTTGCTCCCTGCTGTGCCGTTATCCGGCTCTGTAATGTCCTCTTTCATATTTAGGTGATCAAATCTGGGCACAGCACTCCGCATGCACCCTTATCACTCAGTCCCTTAGACCATATTAGAAGCACTGCCTCCAACGTGCGCTCAGCATTTGCTGTTTCTGCTTCCTGGGCTTGGCTCAGCTGTGGAGAGCAGCACAGACCCCCTGCAAGACGAGCTTTGCCTGGCTCCCGTTATCCATAGGGGTCACATCATGGCGATGTCCGTGTCGTGACATCGGGGTTCACCCCCACCTTGGTGCTGTGCCATCGGAGCAGGCCCCTGCCTGAAGCTGGGTGCAGGAACGTGGTGTCACCGTTGTCTTGTGTGCTCGGGAACCGGGAATGGGGGGGGTTCGGGATGGGGTTTTTGGTGCTGGGAAGGATGGGTTGGATGCGCTGGGACAAGCCGCTTCCCATCAGGCACATCCAGACCTGAGCATTCAGGTTGCATCGTGCCCTAGGAGGTTTGGGACCTTCTCTGAGCTCCTGCAGTGGGGTTGAAGGCAGATGTTTGCTCCCTGCTCTCCTCCCATCCCTGTTCCCACTCCGTTCAGTGCTGTTGGCTTCCTGAGTGATCCCTGTTCCATTGCCTGCAATCCCCCCCTTGGTTTCTATGCTGAAGGCTGTCACCTCCGCCAGCAGCATCCTCCCTGCAATATCCATGTTAAAGGATGGTGTTCCCCTCCTGTGGCCTCTGGCACAGCGGGGACACTGCACTGCAGAGGTGGTGCTGGGGCCATGTGTCCCCTTTGGACCAGGGTATGGATCTCCATGGCTCACTTTGAGCCTGAGGAGGAGATGAAGGGCTTGGGAGAGGAGCGAAGGCACCACCCCACAATCCCAATATTTCCCCATATAATTCCCTTTCACCTTGACCTCTCTTTGCTTTTCCCAGAGGGTCCCTGGCAGGATTATGCCCATTACTACCAAGGCCTATGGGACTGCAGCAGCGAGCATCCCGACGAGCTCTCCTTCCACCGCGGAGACCTCATCTACATCCTCAGCAAGGTAAAGCCTCCCCGTGCTCATTGTGGGGCTCAACTGCAAGGTCAGGAGCTGATGGAACTGGTCCAAAGCAGAGCTCAAGGAGCAGCTCAGTGCCCCCCCAGGGCCACTGCTGCCCTCGCACGTGGCATTTCGGATGCCCTAAAGCGGGATGCGGTGTGCTCTCCCTGCTGTTTCCCATGGCGATGGGCTCCCTACGTGCTGTTGCTCGGGTAGCACAGGGGTAATTGAGTTGCTCAGCTGGGTGTGACCGGGGCTCCCTTCAGCAAGCACACGCAGGTGAATAACTTGTTTGCATCAGCGGGGGTGCTGTGACCCCCTCCTGCCCCGCTCAGCGCCGCAGGGCTCTGTCCTGGCTCCCAGCCGGGTCCCACCGGACCACGGTGGCCTCGGTTCGTGGCAGTGATGAATGGGGGCAGTTGGGTTTTCACAGCCTGGTTTGTGTTAAAGGGACCTCAAAGCTCCTCCAGCTCCAACCCCAATGGGCAGGGACCCCTTCCACTGGAGCAGCTTGCTCCAGCCTGGCCCTGAGCACTGCCAGGGATGGGGCAGCCACAGCTTCTCTGGGCACCCTGTGCCAGCGCCTCAGCACCCTCCCAGGGAAGAGCTTCTGCCTAAGAGCTCAGCTCAGTCTCCCCTCGGGCAGGTTAAAGCCATTCCCCTTGGCCTGTCCCTACAGGCCCTTGTGAATCAGATTTGTTTTGGCATATCCCTCTATCCCCAGGGAGGACGTGGGTGATCAGACACCGCAGTGATGGGCAGGGAGTGGCAGCATCCAGCCTCTCCTTGGAGGTTTTTGTCCATCTATCCATCAGAGCCCTTGGGAACGGACCTACAGTGTGGGTGCCCTTTGCTCCGAGCCATGCACTGCAGCAGCCCCATAACCAGCCTGTCCCCCTCCCAGCTGCAGCCAGCATGGGATGGATGCTTTTAGCTGGCATGTTTGAGGCCAGCTCCCCTGTGTCCCCTCGGAGGCAGCTGCATCCCTGGCAGTGGCAGAGAGCAGCTTGGAGCTTGGGCTTCACCATCGCATTCTGGAAGGCCGAGAATTCCCCATCTGTGGATCTCAGAGCACTTTACAATGGCATTTAGCGACTTGCTGGCCCCTAGGATGGAGCTGATGTGCTCAGGGACTGAACCTGCATCACCTCCTTTATCCAGGGGGTGACACCGGTGCCATCACCGGTGCCCCGGTCCATCCTGCTGACAGCAGAGCAGGTCTGGTGTCCCCCCCCCAGCCCTGCACCAGCTCGGGGACACAGCTTGGAGTCACGGCAGGGTTTTCGCTCTCTTCAGTGCCTCCAGATTGCGACTCTTGTGCTGGTTCCCTCACACGGAACCGATCGCTCCTGAGAGCTTTTCCCCCGTAAATGACTCTGCGCGACGGATGCTCGCGGAACGGAGGCGGCGATGGACGGGGAGGGGGAAAGGATGGAGGCAGAAAGGAAGGGGGGGGGGGGAAGGTGTTCGAAAAGCCTGTTCGTTCGGCTGCGTTTTAATTTCCTTTTCAATCTTGTCCCAATTAATTCTGCAGAATTAATCTCAGCGAAGCAAAGTCGGCAGCGCCGGGGCGGCCGCTTCAGCGGTGCGGCCGCTGCAGCTGAACATGAAATAGGAGCTAATATAAAAACCCATCTGGTGTGTTTGAAACGCTGCTGCTCGGGCCCTGTCTGACATTTCCAGCAGCAGCACGGAAAAGTGGTTTGGGGGTTTGTGGACACCGGTAGATAGAAGGGACTTGGGGATGTGAGGGATGCTGCAGTGGAGGGATGCAAGGGAAGCATCATCACTGCTGCATCCCTCCTTGGAGCCGTCCCTTTGGTGCTGTAGCCCCCCAGCCCCTTGCCACCAAGAGGCTTTGACTTTGAACCAGGGAATGCCACTGTGAAGGGCTTTTCTCATCATCCCCAAACCTGGGCTTGATGCTCTTCATTGCACCCCAGTGCTGCCAGTGATGTGTTGCTGCAGGGATAGCGGGAATAACAGGGCTGGGGGGGGAGTCACATCTGCCCAAGCTCTTTCCCCACCTCATCACCTACCTTTGCAGGGACCCCAAAACACGACCCTGCTCAGTGCAGCCCAGATGGGATAATGCATGGGAGGGAATGAATCTGAGGGGGGGGAGGAAGCTGTGACCCCGGCACCGCATCCCTTTCCCTGGCATCGCTCCCCTTTCCCCTGGCTGAGTGATTTGTACGTTCTGATAATGATTTGAATGCAGTGAGACTTCCTATTTTAAGTGGGCTTAGTTGGATGTGACAAGCAGGCCATAAAACCGGATAAGTTAATTCTCTCAATTGCTTTCAATGAAAGCAGGGGGGGAAACGGGGAGAGGGAAGGAGATGGGGGGGGGGGGGGGAATATTCCTGTACCCCGGCCCCGGAGCGAAAGGCGTGTGGTGACATCTAGTGGCATTCTGCGTGGGTTTGGGGCCATCTCGTCCGTGGGGCGAGGCCACGGCCCCCCCCGATGTGCTGAACCTCTTGGGTGATGGAGCCAGCGTGTGATGAGCCCAGCCGGGGCTCAGCGCCCATCCCGGGGCCGTGGGTCTGCCCCCGGGGCTCGGCTGCGTTCCCATCCCATCAATAACCCCTCTGGGAGGGGAATGGGGCTGGGGCTGGGGTCAGCTGGAAGGCAACGGTCAGCCACCGGTCAAATCCAAGTGAGGGCCGGGCCTGCCGCCCCCCCGCCGGGAAGCAATGGTCCAGAGCGAGCCCCTGGCAGGCTCATTCCTCCCAGGTAATTTGTATAAATGAGGGGACATTGGCACAGGCGAGGACAAAAGGGAGGCTGAGCGCTGGCGGCAGCGCCGGCGATGCCCCAGTGCCCCTGTGTCCCCAGTGCTGCATCCCAGGTTGTGCCCCATCCATGGGGATTCACCCCTGTGTCCCCAGTGCTGCATCCTAAATCGTGCCCTATCCATGGGGATTCACCCATGTGTTCCCATTGCTGCATCCCAGGTTGTGCCCCATCCATGGGGATTCACCCCTGTGTCCCCAGTGCTGCATCCTAAATCGTGCCCTATCCATGGGGATTCACCCATGTGTTCCCATTGCTGCATCCCAGGTTGTGCCCCATCCATGGGGATTCACCCCTGTGTCCCCAGTGCTGCATCCTAAATCGTGCCCTATCCATGGGGATTCACCCATGTGTTCCCATTGCTGCATCCCAGGTTGTGCCCCATCCATGGGGATTCACCCCTGTGTCCCCAGTGCTGCATCCTAAATCGTGCCCCATGCATTGGGATTCACCCCTGTGTCCCCAGTGCTGCATCCTAAATCGTGCCCCATGCATTGGGATTCACCCCTGTGTCCCCAGTGCTGCATCCTAAATCGTGCCCTATCCATGGGGATTCACCTGTGCGTCCCCATTGCCGCATCCTAAATTGCACCCCATGCATTGGGATTCACCCGTGTGTCCCCATTGCTGCATCCCAAATTGCACCCCATGCATTGGGATTCACCCGTGTGTCCCCATTGCTGCATCCCAAATTGCGCCCCATCCATTGGGACTCACCCAATGCCTCATCCCACACCGTGCCCCAACCCTGCTGCTCTCAACCCCACCAGCCACCCTGCCCTGTGCAGCGGGCACTGGTGGTCCCTTCCCCGTGCTCACGGGACCCCGATGCCACCCCAGTGCTCCTGGGGGGCTGTTGAAACATTGCCCCCCAGCCCATGGGTCCTTTGGGGAGGGGGGGTTCAGGTTTAAAGCGGTCCCCAACCATTCATTTTGCCCTGAAATGTATAATAAATGCCGTTAAAGACTTTGGCTTTGACAGAGGTAATAATAAATTCCCTGTTAAAGACAGTGGTTTAATTCCTGATCCCCTCCAATACTGCGCAGAATAAACTATATTCATCACCGAGTAATTTTTTACCACATAAATCTTTAAAACTAACCATCGGAGGCTGTTGAGGCTGAAATATTGGGAATTTATGAGATATGCCCATGTAGGATTGGATTCCGAGGCCTCCATTTGAATATATTAGAGAGGAAATTTGTGTCTTTAAGGGTGACAATCCTTCCATTTTCCAAAGGCAGCCTTAGGAGCGGCAGCTCCTCCAGAGTCAACTCTGCCTTTATGAGACAGAGATTTAGTAACGAGCCCCTTGCTAATCCGGTTTGGAGGGGGGGGGGGGATATTTTGCCCTGGTTCAAATGGGTGCCAAAGAGAAAAATATGGAGCTATTCCTATAAAAGACTGAAAAAATCCGCTTTTTCTTCCCGGCTTTAACAAATGGGAGCCGATTTCCCGGCTTATTTCATAAATAGAAGTGGAAATTCCACTTGGGAAAATGCGGAAGCAGAGCCTTGTCGTTAAAACCATCCCTCCCCGGCCATAACTTCCCCAGGCTGCGGGTGGTTTATGGACCTGCGGATTATCCACATGGATATGGGGCTAATACAGAGGACGGGTAGATGGAAGTGAGCCCTTTTGATTTGGGGGGTGGTTAATGGGGACTAAAGGGGACGCGAGGATGGAACCGTGATTCCATGAGGGCAAAACAGAGCAGAGGAGGATTAAATCCTGTCTCTGCCCCCCTTGAAACTGGGGGCTTTGTGTTCCTGAGCCCCCCTTGTTTTGCTTTCCTGATGTCAAACGCCAGTAGACAGCAGAACTCTGAGTTCATTAGGGAGATGGAGATAATTACAAGCCCATCTCTCAGTTCAGGGTAACATTTAAGCCAATGGATGTGGTAACATTTAAAGGCGATCCAGTGCAAAATGTCACGTACGGTCTGGTTTCATTAGAGACGGGTTAATAGAGGGATGGAATTGAACTTCCAGGGCTGGCTGTTAAGTAAGACGTTCCCCTTTCGCCATAACTCCGTCGCCACAGACCCCATCCCCGATGGATTCAAGCTTCCAGGGCTTCATCCCTTCAAATCACGAATGGGAAGCAGCAATCACGGCAGCACCAAACCCTGCGGTCAAGGGAAGGAGCCGATCACACCCCATTAACCTCCAGCATCGCCCCTTGGTGCTCTCCTCCGCCAGCC